AGAGAAGAGATGAACCCTTGGACCTTCTTTTCTCGAACTTTGAACCACATATCTGTGATGTACACACCTGAGAGGCCCCTAAAAGTTCATGGCCGGCCAATAAGTCAACTTGACCCTTTTGACCCCTCTTTCCGAGCCATTGTTGAACCCTTGGGCCCACTTTCTTGGAATTTCAATCACATGGTTGTGTTGTACACACATAGGGCTACCTCCCAATACCTGGCCGGCCAGAAAAGCTGGTTGACCCTTTTGACCCTAGCCGGCCGGCTAGGGGGTGTGGCCGGCCGGCCACCTCCAGCCAAAGTGAGCGGCCGGCCGTGCTCTCCTCACTGTGCCCCTTCCAGCTGTGGGGCAATATCCCCAGATATTTTCTGTATCCGGGGGATATTTTGGGAGAGAGAATTCCTCTCCATTTCACCCCCCTTTTACACCCCCTTTCTTGACCTTATAACCAGCTGAGGGTCTCCTTTTTGTGGGTTAGAAAAATTCTTCTCTCCAAGGCTCAACCCTAAACTCCATTGTCTTCTTTCTCAATTCTTCAAAAAACCCTAAGTCCATAACCTTCGTTCCTTCTACACCACCAAGCTCTACCACCACTATCTCATTTCCAGCAGCTAGGAAGGGTTCTTGAAGGCCAAAGGAGCAGCAAATCCATCCAAGAAGCAACCAAAGTCTAGATCTTCAAGGGTAAGTTACACTTTGATCCTTTTGACCCTTTTCCTTGATCTATTTCTAAGCCTCATTTCTTTTTGGTTTCAAGCTTCGGCCCTAACTGAAAAGGGCCATATTCTGAGCTCATCTTCACTTCTCATCAAGGGCTTAACCCTGTTTGAGCCCTCCATGATACACTTGCTTCATTGGCCATCTTGTATGTCATAGTTTTGCATGCTATTTTTGACCCATGAGTAATTTATTTTCGAGCATGTTGTAAACTGATATAAGGCATATTTTGAGCCCCTCTTCAACATTGGAGAAGGGCTCAACATTGTTTGGTGTTTCCATATGTCACTTGTAGTTATATCCCCTATTTGGCCCCATTTTTGCATAAATTAGTAGCCCTCTTTGCTTCTGTTTTTGGACCTTGGTCCGAACTAAAAGTGGTCTTATTTTGGCCTATACTTCATGTTTCATTCACACTTTTTTTCTGTTTGGTGATTATTTTATATACTTCATGTTATAGCACCTTTTGGGCCTTGCTTTGCATCCCATTTTTAGCATATTTGTATACTGTTTTTGAGGCTGCCATATACTGTAAATGTTCATATTTTTGGTCTATCTTCATTGTTGTAGAAGGAATTTTTTTAGTTTGGGTTTAGCTTATACCACTTGCTTCATATCCCCTATCTTAGCCCCTATTCTTGCATGCTATTTTTGCCATACCTATATTTGCTGTTTGGCCATGTTTATAACTGGAAAAGTCCTTATTTTGGGGCTGTCTAGCTTCTGTCTTTGCATTGCATGTCCATGTTGTGCATGTTTAGCATGGCTATAGGCCATTTCGGGGGCCTAATGTTGCATTTCGGGACGATTTCATGCATTTGGTATCATTTCGCTACATTTCGGGACTGTTTTTCCCCATATTTTGTTACTGAAATTCTGTTAGTATCCTTGCATATCTTTTTTATCATTTCCATGTCATTTTATCACCGCCTCGGTTTGCGTGCCCGTGTGCACGCATTTCGAGGCACTCCGTTTTTATCCGTTGGCATCCGATGTGAGTGTGGCTGAGGCTCACTCATGTTGGTGTAAGCCCATTTGTCATTTCCATATCATTTCATCACATTCTGACACCGCCTCGATTTGCGTGCCCGTGTGCACGCATTTCGAGGCACTCCGTTTTTATCCGTTGGCATCCTATGTGAGTGTGGCTGAGGCTCGCTCATGTTGGTATGAGTCCATTCATCATTTTCCATATCATTTCATCACATTTTGCCATCACCTCGGTTTGCGTGCCCGTGTGCACGCATTTCGAGGCACTCCCGTTTTATCCGTTGGCATCCGATGTGAGTGTGGCTGAGGCTCACTCATGTTGGTGTAAGCCCATTTGTCATTTCCATATCATTTCATCACATTTTATCATTGCCTCGGTTTGCGTGCCCGTGTGCACGCATTTCGAGGCACTCCGTTTTTATCCATCAGCATCCGATGTGAGTGTGGCTGAGGCTCACTCATGTCGGTATGAGTCCATTCATCATTTTCCATGTCATTACATCATTCTGCCATTGCCTCAGTCTGCGTGCCCGTGTGCACGCATATCGAGACACCTCATTTTCTGCTATCGGCATCTGATGTGAGTGTGGCTAAGGCTCACTCATGTTGGTATAAGCCCATTTGTTATTTCCATGCCATTTCATTGCATTTTGCATTACCTCGGTTTGCGTGCCCTCGTGCACGTATTTCGAGACACATATCATCGCCTCGGTTTGCGTGCCCGCGTGCACGTATTTCGAGACACATATCATCGCCTCGGTTTGCGTGCCCGCGTGTACGTACTTCGAGACACATTTCGCATTGCCTCGGTTTGCGTGCCCGCGTGTACGTATTTCGAGACACATTCACACTGCCTCGGTTTGCGTGCCCGCGTGCACGTATTTCGAGACACATATCATCGCCTCGGTTTGCGTGCCCGCGTGCACGTACTTAGACACATTTCGCATTGCCTCGATTTGCGTGCCCGCGTGTACGTATTTCGAGACACATTCGCATTGCCTCGGTTTGCGTGCCCGCGTGCACGTATTTCGAGACACATATCATCGCCTCGGTTTGCGTGCCCGCGTGTACGTACTTCGAGACACATTTCGCATTGCCTCGATTTGCGTGCCCGCGTGTACGTATTTCGAGACACATTCGCATTGCCTCGGTTTGCGTGCCCGCGTGCACGTATTTCGAGACACATATCATCGCCTCGGTTTGCGTGCCCGCGTGTACGTACTTCGAGACACATTTCGCATTGCCTCGATTTGCGTGCCCGCGTGTATCTTAGTTGCATTTCATGCATATCATGCATATTGCATCGTGTCCGGAATAGGAGTTAGCCCGGGCACGGGAAACGAGGTACCTTTCGTACTCCGAGTGACAGAATGTGTTTCAATTCCCCTTTCACCAACACTCCGGATTATCCATGATGGAGTTAGGTTTTAGCTGTAGTTTCATGTGCATTCATCCTATATTGAGTTGTGCATTTCAACTCCTCGGCCATCATGCCTCGGTATGCGTGATTGGTGGCACGAGGATCGAGACATGCATATATTTGTGCAAACACATTGCTATGCCCCTTTCCTGCTCTCTGTTGCAGCAAAACCAGGAATCAGCAACTTTCTGGGACTTGTCACGCTTTTCAAGAATAACAGGTGTAAACAGAGGCTAATTGGGGCATTCCGGTGGATTTCCGCGCAAGACAGTCCGGACATGCATCATCCACCAGAAGCAAGGCAGTCCCTGGCTTGCACGCCAGTTTATTTGCTTTCTAGTTAATTCATTAATTAATTAGAATTCTGTAATATTTTGGACTGTAATATTCTTTTATTTAGGACTATATATTTATTCGGACCCTCTGTGCGAGGGCATAATTGTAATAAGTGTGGGTGAGTGTGATATATGTCTTCCAACCCCACGTCTTTCTTCCCTT